GGAATGGCTCGATCCAATACTGGTCAGAATTTCTGTATCGAACATCAAAATAAACATGCTGTTAATGGGGACACTATTGCCTCACCCACGGCATGTTGGAGGAGAAAAGAAGACATCGGATCCTCACCCACGGCATGTTGGAGGAGAAACGAAGACATCGGATTGATCTTAGTATCGGTGGAAACGTCTGAGTATTTAATGGAGTTTTTACAGTTGTTTTTAAGAGTCTAAACATTTTTGTTTTGTTTTGCAGTAAGCACCATCCGTTTACAGAAAAGAGTTTCCATGTGAACTATGCAACACTTGTGTGATGAGTAATATCAATATCAGATCATTTTCTTCTAAACATAAAGTTTTGGTTGGGATTAAACAACCGATTAAGGCTTTCGAGAGACTTTGCCGTCTAACTTTAGTGTTTTTATGGTGAAAGTTAAGTCTTATTTGCATAAATTTTACTGCAGTGCCTTGTGAATACATTTGACATCTCTCTTTTTTTTTAAAGGAACCTTTGCGGTTGTTGTAACAGCTCCCTGAGGATGAACTCAATTGTGACTCAGCACAAATCTCTTGTAATGACTCCCCGGGGCCACATGAGCCGAGTTAAATGACCATGAAATGGATCCTTCCGCTATTATGTCCAGTAATTGCCGTCCTCCATACATCATTAGTGTTGGCCATTCACCACCATTGTGAATATGGACAAGTTAGTTTGGGAACATTGGGAAAAGTGACTGTGGTGATGGACATGAAGCTAAAGATGCTAATTCTTACACCTGCCAAGGTTATAGTCTTCATCTCACCTTGTCAGTAGTCCAAACCGATCTGGACTGCAGGCAGGCCAGTCAAGCATACACTTTGAATATGTTATAAGACTGACCTTGTAAGTGTTTACACAGTTTGTTTTTTATTACATAGCATTATTGGTAACATACAGTATGGGCAGGGATTTAAAAATAAATAAATAAAATGCTTCCTCTAAGATTAACAGTTTAACCTTTGACCTTTTATTCACCAAGTCTACCTCAAAGCAAGTTAGTTATACAGTAATACCTTGAGATACGAGCGCCCGACATACGAGTATTCCTAGATACGAGCATGTCTTCCAGCAATTTTTTGCTTTGAAATACGAGTAAAGATTTGTGATATGAGCACCTCCAGTTACGAGCTTCAAACCCGAGGCCCACAGACTGAGTGTGGCCCGCCAAGTCATTTTGTGCTCAACAGCGACATACTGGCCGTAAACTAAAACTACAACAATGTACTTCATGATGATGAGTGATGTATGAGCAGAGATCTACCTGTGAGTGTGTCCAAGGACAGGCAGCATCACCTCATCAGCTTCACCCAAAACTGGACTCATGTTGTTCTGAGCTGAGACATCGATCGACTGAGATTTGAATGTGAGTTTCTTCTTAACCAGATGAATTAAAATATATTTTTAATCACACAGAGCAATGTACAATAATTGCTACTTGAATAAATACTAATAAAATCCAGACATATGTATTAATTACATTTTTATTAACACGTAATATGTGGTGAAAATGAATTGACGCCCCTGCTGGAACAGGTGTCTCCATCCAATCATTTGAGACCCTGTCATCGACCGATGACCATCAGAGCCAATTAAAAAACCTCTCACCATAAATCTGCAGGTTTTCACAATGATAGAAAGTTAATATATGAAACTTGATTATGGGATAAGTAGTAAAATATGGGATTTTAAATTTTGCACCACACATCTTAGAGACGGACTTTTCCACAGCAGTTTCCTGCTGGTACCATTCCACGGTCACGCCAACTTGATAGAGAAAAGAAACACTTGTTCTCCTGTCCTGTTACTGGTATTATGTCACCACTAGGTTACACCACCAGGCTCTGAGCACAACAGGTAATGTAGCATTTTGTGTTGGCTCCTGGCCATGAGGACTGTGATCACTTCATCTCAGCCAAGAAGTGTCTGAAACACAGATGTCGCTTATTTACGAGGATAGCCGAAGGATCTGTGTGTTGGCGGAGGCCCAGGAGTTTTCATTCATGTTTTCATGCTGGCTCTCAGACCTCAGCACGCTCAGTCCTCATTGGCTTGAAATCATTTTTGCCCAGGAACAATTGCTTTTTTTTGTATATTTTGGCAGTTCCGGGTATTGTGCCATTTAATTACTTTGTTTTCCATCCTCTGTGATTTTCTGTTTATACTTGTAAACATTTGACCATAAAACACTTATTTTTATCCCATTTCCTTCGTTGTTGTATAAGTACATAACATACAACATAGTATAAGTATTAACTCTATAATGTTATTATGAACTGGCAAATTCCATTGAGACTAATGTGTTTTTTGAATTCGGGCTATACAAATAGAATTTAATTGACTTATATCAGTAAATAAACCCCCATTTTTTTTAAGCAGATAAAAAGACTTGTTTACTCTCTTTCTCAGATTTTTTTTTTTACTTCAGAAAATAAAGACGCTTGCACAATATTCTTTTGTTTCTATATTCTATGATGAGGTATAAAATCACATTATTCCCCGTTAAAGCTCGTCACAGTACCTTATCGGTTATTTTCCAAACACATGCATCCGTCAGGATATCTTCCTGTTGCAGGAGAAGAACGGCCACAGCTTCACAACTCCCCACAGTAGCAAAAAAGTTTCCAGAGAGAAATAATATATGGGCTCGACTATGACATGTAAGGTCTCTTCTTCTTCTTCAGATCCTGTAGCTCAGCATTTTATTGACAGATTTACAGCGGAGATGTAAAAGTGGCCGAGCACGAGGTGAGAGCTGTATTTCAAATGTGCACAGGAAAGACTGAACACAAACATCAGAACAGGGCTAATGAGGGCGAGGTTCAAATCTTCATCATCGCCAGTGCATTTAGTACTAAGCATAGGTCAAAGGTCAGACTTCAAAACTGTGAGAATTGTTTCCTTAAAGTTATGAGTTTACCAAAAAAAAGCACACACTGTCATGTAGACTGACAAAACCTGGAATTAAACCTGAAGTGTTTTTGGGTTTAGAGACATTAGCCATAGCTGCTGTTTAGCTAGCCAATGCTGCAGTGAGAGGTGACACTCGCAGAGGATGCTATGTTTAGGTACTGTGTTGTTGGGTTTTTGTTTTTTTTTTTAAGAATATTTTAGGTTCAGGGTAAGATACTTCCTGGGGTTTTAATCTATGTGTTTCTTTTTCTTAAAATGAGTAACTGAGTAAACCAAGGGGAAGGTCTGTGGGTTTTTTTTTTTTTTTTCATTAAACCACCACCATAGAAAAGACCACTACAGGAAGAAATTTTGCAATTACTTTTTTTTTTTTTTTTGTAAAGCCAAATAAGATGCAGACCTTGTGCATCACAAACCAAGGGCTAAATTATTGAGCATGTGAAAATCGATCACATTTCAGTGTACACTCCAGTTTAAGCAGCATTTCCAGCTTAAAAAGTGGTTGTGAGTCTGGGAATGAAGCAGACAAAGAAACTGCAGCGACGATATGCCAATAGCTTCAGTGCATTACCTGTCAGTTTGAAGGTTTTAATAAAATCCACGCTGTCTGTTGAGAACACTCTTCACTCAGTCCATGATTTGCTCAGCTCCGGCTCGGTAAATTACTCAGCTCTGACGAGCAGATATTTGTGAAGCCATCAAGTTGTCACACAGGCCTCACACTGTGACAGCACCGCTCTGTGTGTATCGTGTACATATCCTCTGCAGCCCTGATGCATATTCATGACCCAATCTGATTATACATGATGTGCATGTGTGTGTGTGGGTGTGTGTGTGGGTTGGTCTTGGAAGCTGGGGGATGACATATTAAAGTGTCAGCACAATATTTTACCGCTCACAACGAAACATGTTCCCGGTTAACAATGTGCCACCTCAAGGTCACATGTAAACGAAGCATTCCCAATTAACTGGAATTGCCGCGTAACTTTAGGCAACTCAGTGTTTTCCGAATACCCTGCTCCCCTTCTGTAGGTCACCCTTTAAAGGTGCTATTAATCTTCTTTTAATTATAGCTATAATGCCATTGTGTAAAGGTGGATTAGAAGCACAGATTGATCGCCTCGTCTTCCCTGCTGCTGTATATGTGTGCTGACAGTGTGTGGGCCTGTTTAATTATGAGGAGGTGGAGGTGAATCTGTAAGCAGGTTTACTTCTCATACCTGATTTTTTGTTTTTGTGTTTTTTTTATGCTGATGTCTACACAGGAGCAGTGGAATGTGGTTTTGGAAGGTCAGCCACTGCTGAGTGGAAGCTCTCCACCACCGACACTTCACACTCACATCAGGTGTCGGCGTTTTATTACCTTGTTTTTTAGTCGTATCATGAAGTGGCCGTTTCGCAGTAACAATACTAAAACGGTGTTGTTAGTGTCTGATCATGTCAGCCGTGGGCCATTCCGCTCCGAATGTTTCATGTACACAGTCGCCTTAAGCAACAGTGTCAGACTGGCTGTACTATGTTAACAGTATGATGAGTGGGTGTAAAATACTGGAGATGCTTTCATTTCATTTTCAGTTTATTAGACTTCTGTTGAACAACACGAACCTCCTTCATCGCTTCCATGAAAGTTGGTGCCACCACTGCCCTATGGTGCCTCCTGTGGCAGCCTCTGTGGGTTTCAAAGAGTCACACTGTTAATTTGTGGGATGAATAAGGGGCTGATATTTATTTATTTACTTATTTGAATTTTATTTTTTTATCATAGACCTTTTGTTCATTTCATTGGTCAAATTAAATCTTTCTGGATGTACGTTTCAGGCCTTATATCAACACCCAGGCAAAAATCCCCAAATCAGACTGACAGGAAGTCGACAAAGTCAAGACTGTTTTACTGTAACTCCTTTAACTACTCAGTGAACTTGGCAGGAATCGTCTTGGGCGCAGACTCAACAGTGAGACAGGCAGGGCAGGTGAGGCAGACACACACTAAAACATCCACAAATACACACATACACGTAGGTTACAGCTTTGTTAGATGTTTGGTTCTGTTTTAAGTTTACAAAACCTCCATGGATCATATTTGTTTTTAAATGACATCCATAGTGTTTTCACATTTTTTGACTTAACCGTCAGTCTAAGTACATCGGCTTTTTTGTCTCATCTTACATTTCTACTTAACTCTTATGTGCCTGGTCCTTGTATTTTCTTTGTAATGTCTATTTAGTTTTCCGACCGTACCGGACCGTTCCGTTTTCCTGTGAAAATCCATGCCATGTCTTACATCTGTCTTAATTTGTTTCTGATCATCCTCTCCTCTCTGATGCCTTCCACCTGTGCTGATTATCTTCACCTGAGTCCAATCCTCTCTCTTTGACAAACATTTGTTAACGAGAATCTGTGTGTTTCTAACTTTACATTAGTTTAACAACCTTTTTTTTCTCTGGTAATTAGTTGTATTTCCACAAAATGGTGGTCAATAAAGAGAAGAGAACTGCCTGAGGTCCCCCGTGTTCTAGATTGTTGATCATCAAATACAAGTCAAAACAAGGAACCGAGAGCTGGACGAGGAGCATGAGGTGTAATGACAGGGCAGAAGGTAGGAGCTTTATTATTATTATTATTATTACTGTGAATATGTGTGTTTTGCTTGGGTTTGAGTGATTCTGTGGCAGAAAAAAAAACTGCTCTAAAATGTTTAGCTAGTAATGTGAAGTGCATCATGGTTGAAAGATGACTGGGTGTTTGCTTTGCTGAATCCACCGCTCACAAAAAGAAGGAATGGGATCACAGTTGTAAATGTGTTTAAACAGTGACTATTCTTTGTAACATTTTTTTGTACTAAAATCCTGGATAAATATACATTCATATTTTACGGTAAATCAGGAAAATAAACGTAAATTAAAGAGGTCCCGTTGGAGGTTGTTTTAGGATGGAACTTTTCTGGAATGATTATTATTTTAAATTCTTTGTACTGTTGTTCCTCGTTCTTGATTTTCAAACTAATTTGTCGGCACTGCAGATTTTGAAATGTTTAATGATTGAAATGTGTAGACTTGGTTGGCTGACTGTTGATGATGATGATGTAGGATGGTTTAACTCACATGCAACTGGTCTGTACGTTCCCTCTTTCACTAAACCACTACCGTAAAGACTATAAACGCTGGGCCAGTTGAAATAGAAACGTCCTGTTAGCTTCTAAATCATCACCAGATGACAGCTGGGTTTTTAGTCAGGATATTTTCTCCTATTTATGGAAAAGGTTTGGTGAAGTTGCTGGATTTGTTTGTTATAGAAATACTAACCCAGACCTAAACAATTTCTGTGTCTTCATTCAATAAGGAAGAGTCAATTTGGGATGGCATAATTGTATGTTGTTTTGAGATGTCAGTTACAAAAACACTACAGTGGCAAGCATGACACTTTCGGTCAACAACAACAGCTTTGAATCACAACAGGGCGAGACATCGCCATAGGGAAGGTCCACCCTTAAAATATTGATGCAGAGATGGTCAATCTTAATAAAGACAGGAACAACACACGCGGAGTTCTTTAACTCCTGTCTTCATTGTGGTACATTAATCTTAAACCAACCATGATAAATAGTTAAAGTGCACAGCAGCCACTGCCTCCAGCCCTTGACAAAGCTCAGGATAAGTGTCTCGCAGCATGCATCAAGAGGCCTTTGAATAGCAATCTGGCCTTGGCCTCTGTCTACACTTTTGTGAGTCTGTTGTGCATAATGCATTGCATTGCATTGCAGCAGGACAGGGGTAATTACCACAATCAGAGGAGAGGCGCATCAATTTCAGGTGAACCACGGGGGGTAAATGAAGCAGAGCAGAGAAAAATAGGAGGAAGGAGAAGGAGAGGAATGAGCTGGCCCAAAATCCAAGGATTGATGTCATAAACCTGTCAGTTGCATAAATGATCACAGTGAGGAAACCGATTTATCTACTCTCCTTTTCTTTATTGCTGCATCCTCCTCCTTTACATCCCAGTAGTTTCATACTCGGTGTCCTGTTCTTCAGTCTTTGGTTGAAATAATAAAAAATACAATCATGAGGTTACACTTGTTTTGTAAATTGACGTTATAAGAGGAGGGGAGGCAGATAACATTTAAATATAATTATATACTATATATGTGTGTATGTATATATATATATATGTGTGTGTGTGTATATATATGTGTGTGTGTATGTATATATATATATGTGTGTATATGTATATATATATATATGTATATATGTATATATATGTATATACATGTATATATATATATACATATATGTGTGTGTATATATGTGTGTGTGTGTGTATATATATATATATGTGTGTGTGTGTGTGTGTGTGTATATATGTATATATATGTGTGTGTATATATATATATGTGTGTATATATATATATGTGTGTGTATATATATATATATATATGTGTGTGTGTGTGTGTATTCCCCAGGGTTCTTTTTCTTTTTCCTCGGTTTTTCATACAGGCTTTGTCTCGTGACATTTCTATTTTTCAATTTGTGTTATTTCTGTAAATTCCATATGATCTGAGTCCTGGAAAAAAATGAAATTATATAGATAATATAAATAATGATATCTATAAAATTAAATTGTAAAATAAAAAAGGCAGTTGATGTGCGTTTTGCAGACTTGGCTAAGGTCAAACGCAGCATAGAACAGCTGGTGCTTAGCATTCTGTACACTGCATTGCTTCATCATTTGTATCAATCATTGCATTTATTGCACCTCCTACAGGGAAGTAGAGGGCTTACATGCCTTGTGGACCTGCACTAACTTACCCATATGGGTTGTTAAAATATTATGACAAACTCTGAAAAAAAAAACAAAATCTTACAAGTAGATTGGTGCCGATTTAAGCCACTTAGCACGAGGTAAACGCTCCGTTCCCCTCTATCCTTACTGAAGTGGAGTGAAGAGAGAGAGGCTAAAAGGGCTTGTTCCTCCCAAATGGTTTAAAGAGAGCATCTACAGGGAGATTAGAGGCCAAGCTGAAAAAAGGGAGAGGAAAGAGGCAGAAACCATCACTGAAAGCTTAATGCAGCAGCGGCTGCACCCCAGGGACCTGCAGACAAGTTTATTGAGGCCACCTTCTCTATTATGGTCAGGAAGAGGTGGAGGAGGACGCGGGAGAGAGTAGGGGGGAAGGGGGGAGGAAGAGGAAAAAAATAGATAATAGATGCTCTTTAAAATGTAAAATAAAAAGTAAATAGATTTTCTCCTCTCTCTCCTACTCTCTACCTCGTTCTCTCTTTCTCGCTCGCTCTCTCTCGCTCTCTCTTTGTCACATACACACACTCTCAGACACACATGCACACATCCAGACAGCGGTGCTTCTATTTCAAGTGTATTTCCATTTGTCATAATGAGGAATTCATAAAAACTCCACACCTGCTGAGGCTGAGTTATGAGCCAGAGGCTGCTGTCAACATTATTCACCGAGTCCTTTGTGCAGGTTCTCTTATCCGGCCTCCATCAATATTCGCACAAAGAACTCAGAACTGTGTTGAACAAGAGCTGAAAATTTAGGCCTTCATTTGAAGGTTAATTGGGGAGGGTGTTTTTGTGTGCGCTTGCACACTACAAAAGAGGTCGTTTAGTTAGGATAGCAGCAGAAGACATAAAAGTTTGAAGCAAATACGGTCATGGTTCGCGTCTTTGAACGAGTGTTAGAAATGATATGATTTTTGTGCACACATAGAGAAAATCATAGACTTTGCTCATGCAACAATTGTTTACATATTTCGCTACATTAACTCAGTGAGATGCAGTGTTTGAGTTGCTCTGAAATTGATTTGAACTGATGAGTAGAAATGTGTCAGCCTTTATCATTATGTTGTTTGTCCTCTTAGTCAAGACAGACTGCATGTTGACTACAAGTCGTCTATGATGAAGTTTTTGTTCTTGCCTTATATTTCAATACAATTTTCTCATTTAAAATTTGCACTTAATTCTTTGTCCTTTTATCTACTCATTTTAAAGGACAACTACAGACTCGAACAAGTAAACAGTTCATGCCATAACTTAATGCTTACAAAGGAATTTAAAAGTCAATATTAGGTATTTATTTAGTATGAATATAATTACCGTTATTACTGGACATATATTTAGGCTGAAGTTTTAGCTGTAAATGTTCTCAAAATATTATACATATTACAAATACAGCTCAACATGAGCAGTTAGCACCATAGCGATATCATGACATTCACCTAATGTTGAAACGTCAGTTATATGTTTCTCAAATACAGCTATCAATTTTGTGAAAGCAATTCAGAAAAAGAGAGCGATCCAGTTGGCTGCAGGTTTGCTGACTGACAGGAAACAGCCTAAGGGTCTGACATCAAAGGACTGTTGCGTTTACTTGAACTCAGCCCGACATTAATTCTTAGCTGCTGCTTCATTTTTATTTCACACATTTACAAATTGTTTTACGTTATCTTGAGTAGAGTTTATTAGTATTTTTTTCCCCTCTTGTTATTTCAGGACATCTTTTCTGGATCTGCTCATGATTGTGTTGCTCTGTGCTGATCAGTCTGCTCAATGTTATTTCATAAGTTGTACTCTCCACTCTTCTGTACAGCAGACAAAGCTGTTCTTCAACAATCATCGGTCAGTTTAAAGATGTACAACCTGCTGTATTAAGCTTGGACGGAGCTGCTGCGGTTCACTAATATTAATGCAGAACACGGACGGTCTGATACCTTAGGATACTCCAAACTTTGCAAGTAATATTTGGAGAGAGGGAGCGAGGCGTTGCACTCTGAAGAAAGCCTTCGTCTTTGCCACTGTCTCTCCTTCTCTTAATCATTTCCTCCTGTCCCCAATGATCCGGTTTGTTTTCTAGAGGAGGAAAAAGGAGACATGCTTTGATTAATAAAAAAAAGTAATAAAATAAAAAGAAGAAGAAGTAAGGGTTGTTTGTTTCATATCTTATCTGTCTGTTGTGTGAGTAGAGAATGAAGAACTAAACAGAGCAACCCAGACAAAAAGAGTGAGGGGAAGGAATAACAATGTGAAGAACTGGATTCTGCATATAGATGTCGGCTTGACCTCAGCTTCACTTTCAGATGTTTAGGATGTATGTGGGCAGAAAGTAATTAGTGTTGATCAGGACTCTTGATGACGAAGACTTAGACGAGTTTGAGGACTGCAGCCACTGCAGGACTACTTCATAGTACTCCCAGAAGAACGGGCTTTATGATAAATATTGTAAGGGTTATTGGGCTCTCTCTCTCTCTCTCTGTCTCACTATCTCTCTTGCTCTCTCTACCGCAGCAGCAGCCGCAATGATGACCAAGCACTTTCAAAAGTTGTGTCTGAAAATAGACGATGAAGGCCATCAGGGCACCTATATATATGTGTAGGAGGTCAAGGCTCGGAAGGCCGAGAAAAAAACAATGCAGAAAGTGTAGCTGTGGCTCTTGTGGTTGACTTCCATCTGTTTCTTCTCTTGGAGAAGAAGTTTCCTACAGTGTTTTTCAATAAAAGTCCCAAAAGTAAATGTCCTGCCCCTTCGCTATTTGGTGGGATTCTTATTCTTAAACTCTTAAACTAAACAAAAATTAAAACTTGTCC